TCGGACTGACGGTGACTACCACGAGCAGCCAGCAACAAGAGGGGGATCCCGAGCAAGTCGATCAAGACGCATCGACAGCCACCGTCCAGCCTCCCCAGAACCAGCGTCACGACATGTCGTCAGATACCACCAGCGCCATGAGCACGCCTGGCCACACGCTCTGCACTTGCCACTCGGCTGCGGAGGGCAGCATCTGCCTTGAATACAACGGAAGGGTCGACGCCCCTGCCGACATGGGCCACAGCCACTCAGGTGAGCCGACGGTCCCGGTCGGCGCGCCCAGGGACAACGACGCCGACGACAGCGATGCCTCGGCCGGCCCGGTCGTTTCCTCCGGCCAAGTCCTCCACCAGGGCGCGTCCGGGAACAGCGCCGACGAGCCTGGCCCCGCGCTTCGTGCCAACCCGGTCTTCCCTGACGGCGGCAATCCAACCGTGTCCGCTGAGCGCACGGAAGGTCCTCGGCCGGCTGGTGCCATCGTCCATGGCGGTACCATCGTCCACGGCGGCACCATCGTCCATGGCGGTACCATCCTCCATGGCGAGCGCCTGACTGAGTCCACTCTGGCCTTGTTTGATGTGGTGAGTAGAAACGTCCCCGACCGCAACGACACTCTCCTCCGCGCCTCCGGTGCCATCGTCACGCCTACCAGCGGGCCTCGTCACCACATGCCGATCCTGCCTGGCCGCACCTCCAGCCTTCAGGTCAGCCCCGCCGGCTCGAGCCGCGGGTCACCGGCCAGCGCAAGGAGCGATCTCGCCCCGGGTGGGGTCGCTTTCGGTGACCCGTTGGCACTGGCCGGAGCCGGCCTTGGGGTTGGCATGACATTGGCGTACCCCCCCGATGAAGACTTCTTCCGTGACCTTGACGAGACCCTCGACTAGACGCTTGTCCAGCTTGCAGGCCTTACCTCATCCCAACACTTATTGGCTACTCGGCCGATTCATGTGGACTGGAGGTTGCCTCTGGTCTCGCCGTGTCGAACTGTTGCGTTATTATTCCAGTCTGCAAAATGTCCAGCTAAGTTTTCTCCCAATTCCCTGTGGTCGGTTCAAAAGGTATAGAGCAAACGAAATGCGAAAGGGAAAAAGATTCACTTGGAGTCAGGAGCGGAATAGGGGTGTTAAGTCTGCGTGCGAACAACCAACCCATTATTTACCCTTTCCCTGTTTATGCATAGTCAGGGGTGCGACCGCTTTTATCCCTTTGTGCACGCTCCTCGGTAGCCACGAGCCGGGGAATGCGGGGACGTTCTCGGCAGTAGGTCGCATTGTTTGGTCTAATCCAGCTAGTGCATCTAGGATCATCATGGCGATGCGACCTCAACTCCCTCCACGTCCCCACGGCGGAGGCATGGCGCGTCGTGGGCCCTTAGATTTAGCCTAATCATTAACCATCGTTTCGTCACCGGTTCTGGAGCAATATTGCCGGTCGTCCGCCGCGGACCATGCCGTGTCGCGTCCTGTGCGGACAGTTTTCCCGCGAGAGTGGCAGCTTTCTCCGCAGCGGAAAGTCGGGCAATGTGCGTGTACCAAAGATGGAATGTCTGGACATGCCGGGGGCCTTTATAATCGAGCCCACGTCCGTGTAGCGACGAGCTGGACCGATCTGCAACTACGATCTTTTCGCCGTTGCTCTCGTGTCTGCCCGCTCGTTCACTCGGCCACGTGCTGGCCTCGCCCCCCCCCCCTCCTCTTCGTCACCATGTTCACCCTTTCTCTGAAGAGGGCCCTCACGGCCCTGGTTGCTATGAGCACCCTGACAGATGCCCGGCCGCCGTGTCCACCGAGAGACAACCAGGAATGGGTCACCGTCTGGGGTGCCATGCCCCAGCTGACCGAGCCGCAGACCTGCCGCCCGCCCCATTCGTGAGTGAAGACGGCCCTCTACATGGGCCATGCGTGGAGACGTAGGCCGGCCGGCAGGAGTGCTAACTCGACGTGCAGACGAACGGACTTGTCTTCAGGGACACGACGATTCGTCAGA